CGCCTTTTTAATTTTTACTCACCCGGCGGCGCTCCGGGTCTTTGGTGGCACTTTGGTGGAGGGTCCTTCACTCGCTCCAGGTCTTTGGCGGCACTTTGGTGGCGGGTCCTTCAGTGCTGCCGAAGACCCGGAGTGAGTGAAGGACCCGCCGCCAAAGACTAGGAGCGCGGCCCGGTGAGTACAAGCTCCGCATGTTTTTTTAACATGTTTTTTTTTAGTCATCCCTGCTGGGGCCCTGTCGAAACTGTTCGAATCGGGCCCCGCACTTCCTAAAGCCAGCCCTGCCTCTAAGTGTGTACGGTATACAAAAAGATCTGTAGTTAACTATCATGTGTCTTACAAATATACTTTGGAACAGAAAACAACAAAAAGTAAGACTTAAAATAAGCCAGAATGGGCAACTTCAGATCCGGATGGCTTCAGTTCTATCTCTCCTCCCTTCCCTATATTATCTAATAATATCCTAAACATCTCTGAATGCATATTTTAAGTCAAATCTTACCCTGTAAATATCATTGGGTATTCTAAGAACATGTATCATGTATTCCTACCTACAGAAGTTTTGATGTATAGTTATGTATGCATATATATATACAGACTCATCATATGAAAATGTACAATTGGTTTGGTAAATCCAATACAAATTAGTACAAAATCTAAATATGAAAACTACAACATAAAAAAAGTTTCATATTCATAGTATGTCAAATGCCCTGCACAAATTGAATAACTAGTACCATTTAAGGTTAGGTTATAGTCTGTTTTACATGTCAGGAATATTGACTGTTCCACAAGGGACTTGTGGTTACCCTAACACGACCCATCAGAGGCAAAGCTAGTGAAGAGATTCTGTCTAGCAGTGCAAGCTGTGATGATTTGTGCAGATAATGCTTCAGGCAGTAGATGGTGCTCTATCCCCCAGCTTAGTGTTAAACAGTTACTCTGTGCATTGCGTTGCTATACATTCGTTATTGCTCCGTCTTAAAGGCGACCAACTGAAGAGTTCAGCCTACCTAGTTACTTGCTAGGAATTCGAAGTTTGTGTAAGTGACTATTATCATGTCTACAGGGATACCTAGAAAAACAAACTGATTTTTAAACTTGTTGAGGTTCACTTTGTACTGAATGAATGAAGGTGAATGGGTACTGGATGCTGTATCCGATGTTGGTCCCCCTCAAGATTTGCTTTATGCCATTGAATGCAGCCCTCTTTCTGTTAAAGAAGTCAGGGAAAAGAGATTTTGTGGCCTTTGTACATAAGGTTTTCAGCTTTCCTAGCGGAACTTCAGCGGCTTGAAGACGATGGGCTTGGGCTTGTCGGGTTCCCACCGTCTAGTACCAGGCATTCGATGAGCCCTTTCAACGTCTAATGGGGGAAGCTGAGGGTGGATTTTAAATATGCCAGGGACCAGCTTCTGAAGAAAGCTGATAATATCCACCTTCTCCAGACCCTCAGCAATGCCCAACAGGTGACGTTTGTTTCTTCAAGTTCTCTTTTCTAAGTCATCCTGGTTTTCTTCCAGTTTGTCTAGTCTAAGCTTTGAGGAGGCCATTTCTTCTTTAATTTCACTGGTTTCAAGGGCAGCCTTTGGCAGCTAATTTTCCAAGTGAGCGATTTGGGGATTTTGCATCACACACCTCTTTAGGGATATCTTTGGAGATTGAATCCAGGTGGCCTGTGAGGAATTCTTTCAGTGTCGCGATATCCTGGGCTAGGTTCTGGTGTGGCTGCTTGGGTGATGCAGGTTGAGGTCTTTTACTGCTTCTCATTTATTCATTGGGATCCATATTCAGCAGTTTGAAGTTTATCCAGGGGATGAATTTAACCTTTTATGGCAGAAACTTATTGCCAGTTTGCTAGGAGAGTAATGCTTAGAGACGAATTGATGTGAGGAGGTCATCTTCCTCACAGATACCATGTGATCTTGGAATGTCATTCTTTCTAACGCTATAACTTGGCAAAGCTGGGACTCCCCAAATCAGCTACCTCCCCACCGGTGCTTTCTCCCCACTGCTTTCCAGGGGAGGAGAGGGAGCAGGCTAAGGGGTAGGTGCCCACCAGTGGCAGTGTTAAAGGTTAATGGCTTGGTTTTTCCCAGGAGCTGAGTACCCACATTTCCTGTGGGAGACTCAGTCCTTTGGGGAGCTCAGCCCGTAAATGCCAAAGTCATTGTGCAGCCCTGAGGAAGTTGAGGAGATTGCATAAGAGGGCAGAATCAGACCCTAGAAGTGTCTCCAGAGTGACCCCACAGCATCTTAGTGGTGTTCACATCTGTGTACAACTGATGTGAGAGCAGAATCGGATAATAAACTCTTCTCTGTTAAATTAATGCAACCCCTCTGAAGTCAATAGGGTTGCACCAGTGTAGCTAAGAGACGTTTGGCCCCCTGCATCATATCCTGCCCTGAATCCACGCGCTCAGCTGCTGTTCCATCAACAGGAGCTGCACATCTGCAGAGGAGTGTCAGTTTGCATCTTTTAATTGTCCTTCTTTCTTCTTGAATGTTGTATGGCAGGGAGTTATCTGGCATCCTCCTAGACAAGAATAAGTGCAAAGCAGTAAAGAATCTGACCAGGGACCAACTAGAAGGTAATGATGCCCCAGTTATCTGTTTTTCACCTTGAAAGGCAGGCTGACAAAAAGACTGTTCAAGGTTTATTCTTTAGCTTGTTAAATCCTTATTATTTCTACTGCAGTAGTAACTGCGGGGACATCCCCCACCTGAGGTCAGGCCCCCCTTGTGCTGGGTACTGTACAGACCCAATCCCTGCCCTGAACACCTTACAATCGCAGCTGACCAGACAGACAAAGGAAGTAGGGCTGTCAAGCGATTTAAAAAATTCATTGTGATTAATCGTGTGATTTTAAAAAAGTAATTGCGATTAATTGCATGATTAATCGTACTGTTAAACAATAATAGATTACCATTTATTTAAATATTTTTACATTTTCAAATATATTGATTTCAATTACAACACAGAATAAAAATGTACAGTGCTCACTTGGACTGTAAAAAAACAAAAGAAACAGTATTTTTTCAATTCACCTCATACAAGTGCTGTAGTGCAATCTCTTTATCGTGAAAGTACAACTTAGAAATGTAGAATTATGTACAAAAAACTGCATTCAAAAACAAAACAATGTAAAACTTTAGCGCCTACAAGTCCACTCAGTCCTACTTCTTGTTCAGCCAATTGCTTAGACAGACAAGTTTGTTTACATTTGCAGGAGATAATGCTGCCCACTGAAAGTGAGAACAGGCATTCGCATGGCACTGTTGTAGCCAGCGTTGCAAGATATTTACTTGCCAGATGCGCTAAAGATTCATATGTCTCTTCATGCTTCGACCACCATTCCAGAGGACATGCGTCCATGCTGATGACGGGTTCTGCTCGATAACGATCCAAAGCAGTGCGGACTGACGCATGCTCATTTTCATCATCTGAGTCAGATGCCACCAGCAGAAGGTTGATTTTCTTTTTTGGTGGTTCGGGATCTGTAGTTTCTGCATCAGAGTGTTGCTCTTTTAAGACTTTTGAAAGCATGCTCCACACCTCGTCCCACTCAGATTTTGGAAGGCACTTTAGATTCTTAAACCTTGGGTCTAGTGCTGTAGCTACCTTTAGAAATCTCACATTGGTGCCTTCTTTGCATTTTGTCAAATCTGCAGTGAAAGTGTTTTTAAAATGAACAACATGTGCTGGGTCATCATCCGAGACTGCTATAACATGAAATATATGGCAGAATGCGGGTAAAACAGAGCAGGAGACCTACAATTCTCCCCCACGGAGTTCAGTCACAAATTTAATTAATGCATTATTTTTTTAACAAGTGTCATCAGCATGGAAGCATGTCCTCTGGAATGGTGGCCGAAGCATGAAGGGGCATACGAATGTTTAGCATATCTGGCACATAAATATCTTGCAATGCCGGCTACAAAAGTGCCATGCAAATGCCTGTTCTCACTTTCAGGTGACATTGTAAATAAGAAGCGGGCAGCAGTATCTCCTGTAAATGTAAACAAACTTGTTTGTCTTAGCAGTTGGCTGAACAAGAAGTAGGACTGAGTGGACTTGTAGGCGCTAAAGTTTTACATGGTTTTGTTTTTGAGTGCAGTTATGTAACAAAAAAAAATCTACATTTGTAAATTGCAGAGATTGCACTGCAGTACTTGTATGAGGTGAATTGAAAAATACAATTTCTTTTGTTTGTCATTTTCCCAGTGCAAATATTTGTCATAAAAAAAATATAAAGTGAGCACTATATACTTTGTATTCTGTGTTGTAATTGAAATCAATATATTTGAAAATGTAGAAAAACATCCAAAAATATTTAATAAATTTCAATTGGTATTTCTATTGTTTAACAGGGCAATTAATTGTGATTAATTTTTTTAATTGCGGCTACTTTTTTTGAGTTAATCGTGTGAGTTAACTGTGATTAATCGACAGCCCTAAAAGGAAGTGTCACTCCCTCTTTTGCAGATAGGGGACTAAGGCACAGAGGGAATAAGTGAATTCACACAGGAAACCTGTGGCAGAGTTAGGAGCTGAACCCAGGTCACACGAGTCCCATGACCACAAGATCCTCTTGCCTTTCCTCTGCTTCCATGATTCTCTTACCATATTGTTTCATTGACCAGGGTAGAATCTTTGTGTTGGCATAAAAAAAAAGCCCTAGGCATTATTCCCCTTGGTTTCCAAAGAGCGTAGTACATGAAGTTCGTACATCCCACCTGACGTAACTGGTGGTACTTTCCCTACATGCCCACAGCTTTCCACCAGGCCTACAGTTTCTTCAGTAAGGACGCAGATGGCAGTATTGACCTGCAAGGCTTGGAGACAACTGCAAAGAAGCTGGGGATTAGTTTAACCGAACAAGAGGCCTATGACGAGCTGTCATATGCTGATGTGGACGGTGAGTGTAAACAATCATCCCAGGTTTAGTCCACCGTGGTACGTTCCAAGGGTCTGTGTTTGTGAGTGTGTGGCGTTGTGCTCCCTTGGTGCCATGCTGCTTGCTGCCTGGCAGAGGTTTGGGCTAACTCCAGCCGGAGCAATGGAGTGCCTGGTCTGTTACGAAGTGAGAGACCAGCTCAGTGTGAAAGCAGGGCTCTTACAGGGGAAATGGGCAAAGTTGTGGGCAGGGGGGGGGGCAGCTGTGCATAGGACTAGCTCCAGGATGGGCGGGGAGTGCACTAGGCTGGCAACATGCTGATCCAAAGGGGTAGGGGCCAAGGGGGGGATGGGACTATGCCCCGCCTCCTCATCAGGCAGCACCGTGAAGGGCACCATGTGAATGGGTGATGGGAGAGGAGGGATAACTCAGTGGTTTGAGCATTGGCCTGCTAAACCCAGGGTTGTGAGTTCAATCCTTGAGGGGACCATTTAGGGATCTGGAGCAAAAATCTGTCTCGAGATTGGTCCTGCTTTGAGCAGGGGGTTGGACTAGATGACCTCCTGAGGTCCCTTCCAACCCTGATATTCTATGAGTTGCCCAGCAGCTGTGCCAGCCCTCTCAAGAGGAATCCTGGCTGAGTCCACAAGAATTCTTCCTTGGGCTGCCCTGACACTCTAACCAGTTGGTGTACAGCAGACACCATTAGCACACATCTCTCGCACACACATGAGGAGCCCGGATTAGAACCCGAGTCTCTCTGCTCCCACAACCGCCCTTCTGCAAGTCTCCAAAGCAAGTCCCTCTGTGACAACACTGACTGACTCATACATACAAGACCCCTCCTCAGCCCTTTCCAATGCAGCCAGTGGCTTAAAGCCACATTTGGGCCCAAAATGTATTGGTCCCTTTGATTGATCCGGGTTTCAAACTGGGATTCACTAAGGTTTTCTCCTCTTGTAGTCCTTCCCCCCCCTGCCCTCCCATGCACACAGATCAGAAGCAGGCCAGCCATACAGCCATCACTAGGGCCTTACCAAATTCACGGTCCATTTTGGTCAATTTCATGGGATTTTAAAAATTGTAAATTTCATAATTTCAGCTATTTAAATCTGAAATTTCACAGTGTTGTAATTGTAGGGCTCCTGACCCAAAAAGGAAGTGTGTGTGTGTGTGTGTGTGTGTGTGTGTGTGTGTGTGTGTGGTGGT